CCTCCTCTCAGGTCCTCTGTTTGTTCCACTCCGATGGACCTCTCGGCTGCTCTGTTACCCAACGTGTGACAGCACAAGTCTTCACATACCGAAACAAAACCATGGCTAAGAGTCTCTCTCTTACAGACAGCTCCCTCAACCAGCTTGACTTTCAGCTGTCGAAGTAGCGTGCCCACAGGGAAAGGGGTGGAAACACACAGCTGAGGATGGTGCCAGAGCAGGACTTGGGCAACCCAGGGTGAGACTGGTTTAAGCTGCCGTTAAACCACCTTGTGAGTGACAGCGGATGTCACTGGAAGGGCCCAAACCATGGCATGGGGCCATGCCATTAACCTATGCATAAAAAGAACAGAAACATGTTCTTATGCTAGGGATAGTAGCCTCCATCCACACCAAAACTTTGTAAATCTTGCTAACATCTCTCTTTGTCCTCCTGTCTTGATATTGACATTCAGTGGCTAGCATAACAGAATGGAGGTAACATGAAACAATTTATTACAACTTGTAAATACGTTTCCATAGGTTTTTAGTTTGTTTTTTTTCCTTAAATAAGGAAATATTTCCTTAAATAAGCCTTAAATAAAGCTTAATTATGTTACAAAGCTCTTGTGCTAGCATTCACTAGCCTGCACAGTTGCCCTCAAAGGGGATTTCCCTGGCTAAGAGACCAGTACGTGGCAACTCAGGCTGAGCACAAAGAGGAGCACAGGATGAAGATACAAAGTCGCTTGTAGCAATAAGCATTTTTACCTGTTATCTAGTGCTTAACAACTACATAATACCATCTTTTTCAGATTATCTTAATAACAAATACTGTTCTCAATTTGTATGATTTGTATGCTCTCTTAAACCTCTATTACATTGTATTTGCGTGACCATACACACAGAAGTCTGCTAAAAAAATTCTGTGCCAACTCCTACCAGCTAAAAAACATAGGGTTCACTATGCACTGAGCATAAACAATCCTATATAGACTTCAGGAATAGAACTGTCATTAAATATATGTCTGTATATATATATAAATACGTGAATAGTTGCACAACCCACACATCTCCACTAGATTCTGCAGAATAGCACAGAATAATGTCCCGGTATAGAGATGATGAACAGGTGTTGCACTTATTTGTCAGTCAGTGGAGATGTGTGAGGCAGAAATTAAAGGTGTGAATTTGAAATAGGAAGAACAAAAAAAAGAGAAATTCCAGCTGGAGACAGCATGGCACTGCTCTGCTGATCCAAGCAGACAAATGAACAAGTTGTAAATCACTGGAAAAAGGAGTTTTGTAAAAGGAAGCCATGTTATATAGGCATTAGTGGTCTTTCCAACACCACACAGAGCTTAAAGTATGAATATACACTAGATTTAAAAATAGATATCCACGCAACATGTTAGAAAAAATCCTTTACATATATTTACACAAGCATATGATTAGATAAAGAGCTGTACAAATACATCTATCACTAAGCAGGGTATTGATTCATGTATTAACATTTGCATATGTATATATCATACTTACAAACTTTTAAAGATCATTTTTTCTCTGTCTGCTTCTTTAAAACTCATGAAAGTACTTACTGTGATGAAATTCACTTTTAAAACTGCAGAGACTGCTGCGTGCCTAAGCAAGCCATTATTTGCTGGCTCGTAATTATCTTTTCCGTGTCTGTTAGACTCACTGATGCGTTAATTGCTTATCAAAATTTGAAACAGTTCATGAGTCACTCTGAATATAAAATAAATAAATATTAATGAGCCAATTTCAACAGAATCCATGTCCTCTGCCTCTTAAAGCTGAAAGACTGTATTTATCAGACATCAGAGTTAGGTCTTGATACCTAACGTATGGGCAAATACGAAATGTACTGGAGTCATACTCAGCAAATCAGAACTGACTGACTAGATCACCATGTTTCAAAGGATCAATGCATCATAGTTATATTCGACCAAATTACAGATCAAAGAGAGAAAGGACTGGTCAATTATAACATAGAGATTAAGTGAAACATGTCTCTAAATGCATAGGTCTGATGCAGATTGAGTGAAAAATGAAATATTTCATTTTTAAAGTTTGGAAGTGATTCTATGTGAAAAGATCTTAACAGAAGTAAACACTTGATCTTCAAACAAACACATTGGCACAAAATATCATTACATAAGAAATTTTAGTATTCCTTGCACCATATGAAGGAAGGAGAGAAGGAAGGCATAGAGTTTTCAGGAATATCAAAATAAAGCATTTTATTTTGGATTAATAAGAAATTTTCATTAAGACAAAACACTGGGTGGAGGGCTCTTCACCCATTTATTTTTTTTTACTAAAATTGAGTGAAATCTACTATTTCAGAGTAAAAACTTTCATTTTGAAAACATGAGTGTGCTGAGAGACTTTTAAGTCTGGACCAACGACGGTTCACTGTTGAAAATCCAAGTCTAAAACTTTTCAAACTAAATGTCCCAGGATGAAACAGGAAACAGATGTCCTTCCCTTGAGCCTTTACTTTCTTATTCTAGCTTTTTCCTGAAAATTGTAGGCAAAAAAAGATCCCCCAAAAATCTTAGGAGGAACAGGGAATATCTCTACAAGGCAATTGTAGGTCTGAAACATATTAGGAATTAGGCAGACATCAGTGACCCCCTTTTGAGCCAAACTGTTACTGAAAAACTTTTTCCAAAAAAATCACTCAATTTTCTCAAGAAAGTTCAGCAGCAGGAGATTCTGACTAATGTGGGTGGCTGGTATCAAGCAGATAAAATAGGAAATTCATAGAAGCAGGCAATTTCCCTGTTATTCACTGACTACAAGTAGGATGAAGAACCCATTTTAATAGTCTGTGGGTCTTCATAAGAAATGAAGAACCCTCTATTTATGCCATTAGGTCAAGTTGTTTATTGTCAGAGGTCATATCACCTGCTTAGCAGAAGACGCTGCTTCAACTTCAGCTAGTCACGTAAAGAGGCAGGCTGGTAGCCCTAGATGTATTACTGCACCTCAGCTGATGCTGCACCACAGTGACGCCCAGACACCCTGTTTAGACCTGCGTATACTGTAAAACTAAAGGCATCTCCCCAGACCAAGATATCCAATCCAGCATTAAACACAGAATGTATCACTGTCAGTGAAATCTGCATGTAAGAATACAGAGAAAAATACAACTACAAAACATGCTGTGGATTAAATATAACATAGGAAGAACTCAAATTTTGCTACTTACATAACCTTCATGAATTTGCAGATATAGTAGCTTTCTTTCAAATGTGGAGCTAAATAACGTGTATTTTCCCTAGCAGTATCTTTAAATTCCTCACTTCATGCATTCACAGCTAACATAGGTCTCACCTAACTTGCTTTTTCTCTGATATGTAAGGAAGTACTTAGTTCATGTTACAAATGAACTGTGCTACTTTCTCTGAAACCTACAAAATAATGCAAATAATATATGCAAAGTCATAGGTTTTCTAAGACAGGTCAATGGTATCTAAAAGAAGGATTGTTTAAATTTATAATTATGTCCATATAAGATAACAATGAAGCGATCAAATAATTCTCTTATGTTAATGAAAATGGGTTTTTGTGCTCCTAAAAATTATTCTTGTATGTCGCATAGCGAGTTTCCAATCTGCAAACAAATATTACTGCTGAAATTTAACACTCTCATTTACGTAAACGTCATGGTATTATTCTGTTCTGTTTTTATAAAATATTTGTGGGCTTAGTTTTTTACCAGATAATTTACTTTCCTCTCACTAATAGTTTAAGCTTCCAAACTTAATGACACATTCCATTGTTCACCCTTGTTCAGTAGAACTTAACAGACGCAGTTGTAAAGTTAAACCTAAAGCTATTCAGTGCATCTACTGAAAATGTTAAATTCTAAATAAAAAGGGTGAAAGAATGTAAGTTTCCATTCAATTCTGCAACAAAAATTTTCACTCAGTAAAATTTTGAAAAAAGCTGTGGTTTCATGGGAAATGGGAAAAGATAAATTCCACACAAGAATTCTTTTCATTTCGAAAAGTCTTTACTGCAAATGCTGCCAAAAGCTTAAATCTCCACTTGATGTTAAAATTGTGAATACAATATGGGAAATTAGCATGCCATGTGCATGATTAAAATAAAAACTTGCAGTGCCAGAAAAATGCATTGTCGAATAAAGCTGAACTCGGATACAAATGTGTTCATCACCATAAAAATGGTCAAACAAGTATTAGTTACCACTGTTAATTTTCTTAGTGTCATGTTTGCACCGAGCATGTATAAAAACAGCTTCTTACCTGCTCAGATAATTCCGGTCCATTGGTACGAGACTGTACGAGAGCCTCATTAACAAGTGAATGAAAGTTTAGAAGCACGTGCTCAACGTCGTACGTCCCACTCATGGCACTTGAGAGTTCCTCCAGGGACCGAATATATTCCCGCCAGTGAAGGTCAACTTCTGCCATGTTAGCTAAGCAGCCTCGGATGACGTTGAGGCAGTAGCCCATGCAGGGCTTACTTAAAGTCAGCCCTTGGCAATGGGGGCAGTACTGCATTCTCAGTAGAGCTCTGCTGCAGTCTTTAGAGAAATGCAGATGATCTGTTGTATTGATCACTTCGATCCCCAAGTTCAGAGCCTGCAAGAAAGCCCGGCTGGGTAACAGTGATCTTCCCAGCTGTCCTATGGCCTTTTTGGGAACGTTACCAAAGGGCCTGATGTCTCTTCTCGCCATTCGGAGGCACTCTGCGTATTCCAGTGAAATGTCAGTCGGACCAGGGTTAATCACGTGGTTGTAGACTACTGGGAACAGGGTGTCAAAAAATCTGTTGACAAATTCCTCTGTGCTAACGTCTGTGCCAAATATGAAGAGTCCAACATCTGTGAAAAACTCCTGAACACGCGTAGTAGCCTCAGCAGCCATGTTTCTATATGCATTGCAGAAAAGCGTGCTTGTGTAATTCTCAGCCAGTCTCATAAGCATTTCAAAGGTTTCTGTAAAAAAAAAAAGTTAATTATTTTTAAGGTTTAAAAAATGAGAAATTAGAGTAAGAACTTAAAAGAATTACATCAGGACATCTTACATTTATCCCAAATGCACTTTTGCATTAGAACTTATGAAGAGACAAACTTCTCACAAACTGTGACAACTGTCTTTTGAATACAGGTAAACATTACAAGTAATGTTACAACACAATTAATAATCCATATATTTTCTTGGCAGGATATATTAAACACAGTTTAAAAAAATATAAAAGGAAACCGATTGTAAGCTGAATTATTAAGTTACAAAATACAACAAAGCCAGACTACATCTGTCTATGTATATACATACATTAGCTCTCTCATCTCATGACTCATTCTGCAAGTAGCAATAGAAAGTTAAATGCTCTGTCACTCCAAGTCATTCCTCTTACCGTCCTAAATGGATAGGCAAAAATAACATTAAACAATTTAAACAAGTCTTCCATTCCATTCAAGCTTAACTTTTAAAAGATCAAACAGTTTTATCTTCTTGTCTGCCAAAGGAAGGAGATGTACCAAACACACAGGAGAACATGTTTTTAAACAATGCTGTTTTGTCTGGCAATTGCTACGGTCAAGCAAAGTGCTGGAACGTGCAGAATCGCTCTCCTTGGGCACTGTGATGGATACACCCTCTCTAAGCCTCAAGATCTGCATAACCGGTAAAGCCTGAATGGATAAACTTACATTTCGTTTCATGTCTTAGGTGGCAATCCTTAAGTTCACTGAGTAGTTTTTAATAAAATATTGTTAAAGTATAAGTTAATAAAACAGAGTTAAAGTATGCTGGAGAAGTATTCTCTCCTGACTTGATCTATGATTTGCTGGTTTTCAAAAAAGAAGAATGTTTGCATTGAGGAATTTCCTAGATCTGCCTGAGAAGCTTGCACTTCAGGGAAGGCAAAGGAGCAATATATAGATCAAAGGGAAGCTTATTTTCGAGTTGAGAATAAAAATACACAGCAACACATATTACAAGTATTAACCCATTTTATCCACTGAATGGCTATGACTCAGTAGCTTTCTTTTATTCATTCAAGCTTCACAAGTTTTCATGTATTTATTTTTTCACTTTTTTTTTTTTAATGAGACTCTATAGAAATAAAGTGAGGAAAAGCATGAAGTACAGTTAATACTGTCCAAACAGTGATGTTAAAAATAGGCAGAATCAAACAGTGTCAAACTATGTCAGGCAATTACTAAAGCAATCTGAAGTCTGATGTTAAGTCACTGACTGAAGGGAATACTAGAAAACTCAGAATAATTTTAATATAATAACTCAGACTGGCTATCACATCTTTAACATATATCTGTGCATAAGAATAAATGTCTTACATTCTGACACAAAGCTTGTTTAGGTCAGTGAAATGATTCTCACTGACTTCAGTGGGTTTGAAATTGCACGCTTTATGAAAAGATCACAGAGAAGACATATTAAACTAATCTGCTTATCCTTTCTATATACTCTTTGTTTTCTCCAATAAAAATGAGATACATGCTTAGAAATCAGAGTCATTACCTCTATTCCTTTGCTATCTATTATTTATTAACTCTTAGTTTCATATTTCACACCACCCTTAAGAGTGATTTTGCTATCTCTCTTTTCCATTCCTCTAACATTCACATAGGTAAGAAAAAAAGTGTTGACTGCCCACAGTAAAGAGTAGGAAAGTGCATCCCATTTGTTGTTTTTTTCTTTTCATTACTATGGCACATACAAATGTGCATCTCTCCCAGAGGGAATTTCACTATAATCATTCATACGTGCCAAATGTCACAGTGATTCAGCAAAGGGTTTGATTTGTTTCAGAAGTCGGACTCCTAAAGTCAGGACCCTGCATGGAGCTAGGCTCCCACCAACGGAGACCTATTCAACACAGCAAAGCCTCTTCAGTTTATCCCGTGAGTTGACATGCCGAAGTGCCAGCTGAGCAATGGCTGCCTGCATCACCACCGACAATGTGACCTCTCAACCTCAGCACCTCATGCCAGGTCGCACCTGAGACACCTGCACGGCACCCCGTGTTTGTAGGTGTGCACATGTGTGTGGGTGACCCATGTCCTTCTGGAGCAGCAGACGAGACACAACATATCCAAGAGGGCATATTAGATTGATCAAGGCGCCCACTTTAAGGAGACTGAACCGAGGATGAGATCACCAGCTATAAAGGCAGTTTGGACACTTAGCTCACCTGGAGGCACATGTACATGGACAGCTAAATTACAGCCCTAAATGTCCTACTGTACATTATGTCTCATTTTTATTGGAGGGAACAAGGAATGCAAAGAAAGTACAATCCTACTATGGAGGCTTTATTTAGTTGCCTAAGAGTGTTTAATACCATTTTTAATGGTAGATGGCATTTATCTGCCTGTCTGGAAGGGCATGGGTATCCTGCAGGTCCTCTGTCACATCTTCAGGAATTGTGTGGATGTTTTGCATTTAAAATGGTACTAGATGGATCTGCCTAGAGAACTGAACTAAATTCTAGACACACAGTTATCACTGACTCAAGAACCATTCATATAAAAGCCTGGAGCAGCCAGAATAACAAAACCAAAAATTTAAGTCAAATTGATTCTTGGTTTAGATGGCTTAAAATAAAGAATATTAAAGCATCCTAGGAAAATGGCTATTTTTGAAACTGTAGATTTGATCTTTTACACAAATTTTGCCAATGCTTCAGATGAAATTTGTTAAAGTAGTTAATGTTAGTAAAATAATGATGTCATAATAATCTCTTTAGAATAACATGAATAAGGTTTTTATGACTCTTTAAATTTTTTATTATTACTTTTTCCTCAATTAAAACCTTAGTATGTGATCTAAAATGTCTGTTACAATCCATGGCTGCAATATCCTATTACCCAGAGCACAAATATTAGATGAAAGAATAAATCATGCTACAGATAGATAATCAATAGATTTTACAATGTGGTATAAACAATAACAAACCTTCAAGATCGAACTACATTGCTAGTGCCCCAGCAACCCACAGATGAATGAGTACAATAATCACCTGCATGATTTATTGACTATTTTGCTTTTCTAACCAGCACATGATAAAAATGGCCATTTGTATTTATGGTTCTGCATCATGCTTTTCAATTGTCATTTTAGGATTTCTTACAAAATTTGTTAATCAGGTTTTTTCTACTGGCACGTTTCCTGCTTTATAACTGCCAAAGCTAATCCAGAGATTTGTTTTGCTCTCAGACAGCTTGAAGAATGACAGACAGCAAAGCAGACCTATGTTTACTTTCAATATTGAACAGCTCCTGCGAACACCTTATGATGGCAATCTATGCCATTTTGCAACACTTTCGGAGACTTCAATGACGAATCAAGTTATGCTGGTTCAACACGCTGGCAAGCGTATCAAAGATTTCACAATGCGTTTCTCTGTCTTTTAAGTCTATCAGCCCAAACTAACATTGTTAGTCTTAATTGTTCAGCCAAAAAAGAAGTGGTGATTTTCAAGCAGTAGAAATCTAATACGTACAAAAGACATTTTAAATATAACCAAGATTAGCTAGACAAGCTCTTTTTACTGTTATTAAATTATTTTTTGATCTGCAGACTCAGTGCCTCTTATCTCCATCCTTTACGAGATCTTCATAGTAACCACTATACAATAGCTTACAGATACCTTGTGTACTACTGTGAATAATGTCTTGCATTTACCACGGGTGACATCTCAAATTTATTTTTCTTTGGCTACACTTATAATTTGTACACTCCTAAATAAACTATCATCAGGGCTGTCAATATATTAACCAATTAATTTTTCAAAAGTAATTTTCAAATATCTCCCTGGTTTTGCTAAGAAGGAACAAAACACAAGGCTAGGAAAAGAAACATAGATGAGCACTTGTTTGGTTTATGATGTACTGCATTTTTTCAATTCATTCTTCATGTCAGCACATATATACAATCTTTTTTGATAACAGTGTATGTAACAAAGTGATCATAAAGTGATGTAAAATAACTATCAGATCACTGCTTTAAAAGATTGGCAATCTTTCATTCACTTTCGTAACCTTTCTGTTCCTGAGAGCCATGGGTAGTTCTAAATTATAAAGATAACACAATGTTGGATACAGTCCAGCGGATTACTGGCTTTAAAAGACAATACAAAAGTGTGCACATGCCTTGTTTACTAGAACAACTCAGAAAAAGATCAAAAAATAATTTATTTTTTGTTATTCCTGGACATTAATCAGATTTAATGGCAATATTGCACAGAATAAACTAGAATTTGGATTGGATTTTAAATTAACCCTGCAATTCTCATCCTTAATAGTTTTGGCAAAGTGTCTTTCTATTACAGGTGCCTTAAAAAATAAATTTAAAACAAATTTCTATGGAATCACATTGTTATATAAGCAACTGCATTTTCATCAGTTTACCCTTTCTTCACACAGATAAATGTTCTATATAGCTGCTAATTGAGAAAATGCATGGACTAAATTCTGAGTATTATCTTTTGAAACATCCATAGTACTTAACACAAAGATAGTCTAATACATTAAAAATGCAGTATTAGTAGTGGGCCAACAAGTTGTGAAGTCTTATAATTCAGTAGTAATTCACTAGGCTAGATTACATATAAATTAATTCACACTTAGTCAGGGTAACATAAAGAAGTCAATAAATTATAACCGGACAGGTTAAAATCCATCCTTGAACTATGGACATAGTATTTGGCAAGAATGCCTTTCACAGTCCAGAGGGGATCCAAAACTGATGAGCCTGGATTACCTTAAGTATCAGCCCATAATATACGGGTATCCAGATAACCAAATCCAAGCAGAAGCTGAAAAACTTAACAATATTATGAATTTATAATGACTTGAAAGATCCTATGGGAAAGTATTAGCCTGTTGCCAGTTGCCATTAATGTTCGGTGATCTCATATGTTTTACTTCTGTTTATGGGCAGCGCAAATAATCCAGAAGCACCAAATTCTCTCTACTAAAGATTTACGGTACAATCAAGTGTATCTTGCATACACTGTCCTATCGGAGTCAAGGGGAATGTCTCAGGTACAGTTTACAGACTAGCAAACAAAAGACATTCCAAAAATATGGAAAATAATAATTATGGAAAAGAAATTAATCCACCCAGTATTACATACATAATATCTTTGTTTAAAATATATCAAACAGGGAAATACGTATAAGTGGGAAATTCAGTGTAATTATTCCTAACTACAAAGTAGTACACAGTGCCAGACATACTGCAAAATCCCCTAATCATTTATCATATCAGAAAAACGAGCTGGAAGAATAAAGTCCTCAAGACATATAAATGAATTATAAGGAATGAACTCATTAGGGCATTGCCTGTGAAGGTTATATGGGAGAGAGATCAAAAGGATAAGTGCCAGCAGAATATATTTGAGACTCACTAAAATTGTTCCTCGTTAACACATATTTCAAATTAATCCATTTCATAGATTATAGACTCACCACTGAAGTCAGTAAGAAAACAGGTAGAACAGATTAAACCCATAGCCCAAACAACTCTCTTGTTTGGTCTTAAATTTATTTTAACTCTTTTTGGAAAAAAAAAAAAATTAAGAAACTTGAATTAGAATCAGTTGACCATTCCCTAAGTTGTCCTGTGTTCAATGGCAAATTACTCAGACACTCAGATGTCAGATGTTTCTTGCATATCCTGTGATTTTGAGTTTGGT